AGAAACTCTTAGCAGCACCTTAGCTGACAACATATCATGAAGCATAAAAGTTTTGTATACAGCTATTTCCATAGAGGGCCACCCTTTATAAGACAGCCCCCAAGTCTGGCATCACTTTTGCTGTTACTTTTCTTCAAACCTCGTACCACTTTAGTTACTACATGTGTATTAATTCAGGAAGACAAGGATCACAGCTTGGCAGCTGAAATTTATTTAACCAACTTACAGAAAGCTTACAAAACAGGTATCATTTGTCTTAAATTCCTGTCCAAGACAAGCAAGTAAAGATGTTTCTGATGACAGATTCAGTGCTCTTCATCTTCAGGCATGGATAAAGATTACTTAAAAACTACTGTTGCTGATGCTGCATGCAGTAGCAACAGAAATAATTATAAAGGCTTTGAGCCAGTATGTTGAGTAAAAAAGGTAGTACTGAATTCCTTTTATCGCTGTACTTACTCTTTTATTGTTTGACAAACTACAGATTAACTCAGAACAGACCAGCACTGTGTGGAAAATTTCACGCTCTACTACACTGCCTGGTGTCCACAAATGCAGCCATTTCTGCTGCAGTGCAGTGAACTAAAACCAACTCACTGACATCTTTTTTTAACAATTCTCTCTTTAATTTACTTGAGTTTCCCCATTTACTTCACCACAAAGTGCAGGAACAAGAGAAGTAAGAATAAAACGGTAACAGCATTTCTTTCTGCAGCAGTGCCAGCTCAGGCAGCTTTCTGAACCCACTGACGTTGTACTTGTCAAAAAAAAAAAAAAGCCTTAGTACCCTCAAGGTCAAACTGGGGATGACGCATTTATGGTTCAATCCCCTGCTTAGAATTTCTTAACAGATATGTATGCATATCTGCAGAACACTGATCTAAAAATCAGTGTGAGAGAAGTAGAAAACCTCTGGCTGAGTAAAAACTCAAAAAAATGCGTAAGTTTAGATGACTGCTATTTTTATCCTAATTGAAGGGCTAAGCTGTGCTCGTTACCCCAAAATTAAGTCATCCTGAAAGAGATGCAAATTGACAGTTTCAGTTTTCAGAAAACGGTGTTTTTTTGCAGAGCTGCTCAACTGTTGTGTACAATACATGGGGCACTGGTTATTTAATGTACTGTGGTCACTATGACCACACATTAAGCTTAAGCTCAGGCAACTCCTTGTTTGCTCAAGAATTTTCAAAACAATTGGCATTATAATTACCATTATTTAAAAAGAATGGGAAAGACCCCACGAAAACCAGGGCCTCTGCTTCAGCTCACTAGCAAACTGACAGCTTGGCAATCTAAATCACAGAACAGAACAGAAACATCCAGGAGATCACCAGTCCCACCTCCTGCAGAGCATAGGGCTGTACATGAGAAGATACAGGACCCTGACAAGCCAGGTCTTCAAGGAAGACTCCATCACTTCACTGTGCAACAGCAAAGAACATCTTTCCTACATTTAAACAATTTGCCCTGAAGCAATTTGTTCCCATAGCCCAGGACACCCACCACCATGGTCCCTTGTAACCAGTGCACTCCTACCTTTTCTGTTACTAGTTTTCTTGGTAATGGAAGGCTGTGATCAGATCTTCCCTCTTTAAGGCAGAACATTTCTTTAGCCTTTCTCTGCATGACAGCGTGGCCAAGGTTAGCCCTTTGCGTTATGATTCTAGTATAAATGCATGTTATTGTTAACTGTAATACTTAGAGTTAAGAGTACAGCATGCCTAGACCTCCTTGTGCTGTCATTTAAAATAACTGGCAAAGTATGCTGAAACACCAGTTAATTCTTAATGGCTTACATCTCTGAAATAAATATTTCAGAATTCCCTTTTGAATATAAAGTGTTATTCCACACAGTTCAGCACTATCCATAGTAGTTCTTACACGTTTTTACCAAGTGTTTGTACTCTCAACTGAAATAAAGCTTGATTCAGCAGGAAGACTTGATCAACAGCATTTTTCACAGTGTGACTTGCAAAACATTAGAAAGTGAAAAGCATCTGGTGATTTTACTGGCTGAATATCAAACCCTCTACACGTCTCCAAGTTTTTATCAAGTGCACCTTGACAATCAAAATATTGATTCTCTTGTGCCTCAGATATAACTATGCTATGTAAAGACTAGGAATTTTAAGTAAGTGGATCCTGAAGCCATTAAAACTGTCCCTCAAATTCCAAAGGAGATACATACTTCTCTAGTACTTTAACTCTTCTACTAGCTAATGAAGATTTAAATTAATTCTGCTACACTGAAAAAAAAAAAATAATAATAGTATGTACTCTGACTTCGATCAACAAAAGGCTTAAGTCACTAATTTTAAAATCGGCTTTCAAGACTGAAGCACAGACCTTAAATACATTAAAAGGATCAAAAAGTCTTTCCTCGTGGATAACGGGGAATTTAAGCGCGCACAAACGAAGCCCCTACATTCACTCGTATTTTGGGGAGAGGTGCGATGGTGGGCAGATCCTACAGGCAGCCCTTCCTTTCCGGCCACAGCGGGACGCGACCGATCACAGGGCCGCCACGGCGTGCTCCTGCTGTAGCTTCCCGCTCCAGCTGCCGCAGTCTCTCCAGGACAGGTTTTCTGTCAGCGCGACCACCCGCCAGAGAAAAACGGTTGTACGGGGAACAGGTAAAGCTGGCGAACGGCAAAAGCCCCGCCCTCCGACCGGGCTGCCCGAGCGTCACGCCAGGTCTCCGGCCCCCACCCCTGTTCCCAGAGGCGCAGGATACCGTCCCGCTACCTGCTGGTCTCGAGGGAGCAGTACCGCTCGGGCAGGATCTGCAGGCAGCGCTGGAAAAAGCGCACATGGCGCTCCCGCAGGAAGTCCAGCCGCTCCGCCTCTCCCGACCAAGGCGCCGCCGCCGTCGCCGCCATCTTGTCACCGCCCCTGACCGGCGCGCTAGTGTTGCGTCACGCGCGGCGACACCCGCCCCTTCCAGGGCTACGTCACAGCCCGCGGGAGACGCGTGTTTCGCAGTGACGGAAGCGCGTGGCATCCGGCTGTGTTAGGTGTTTCACACCCGAGCTCACACAATACAAAGGCAGCACATGTCATTGGGTCAGTTAAGCTCTGTGACAGCTCCCAAGGGCTGCCAGCCGCTCCACTGCTGAAAGTCACCCTCATCCTTCGACAGGCTCATCTGTAGCCCTTGTCTCCAGGCTGGGACAGCTATTAAAAAAAAGGAAAAAAAAAAAAAAAAAAGAGGTCAGAGGTCATTTATAATTATATTTCATCATGCTGCGCATCCATCATTCTCCTCCTTACCTGCAAGAAATATGTAGAATGGGTTTTGAGACTGGTAGTGTGACCTCTTTTGTGCATTCCTCCAACCCCTTGGTAAGTCTGTACAGGTCTTTGTTAACATGAACCTCAACCTCAGAATGAAACAAACAAATCGAGCTTTCCATTGATCACAGAATGAGTTACAAACCCTTATCAGGTCCTCATCAAGGCTGCACTTCGAATACTGTGCTCAGTTCTGGGCCCCTGGCCTTGGTTCAGCTCTAGCAGTCATTTTCCTCGTCCTTAGTAGCTGCTGCAAGTGCTGTGTTTTCAACTTTAGCCTGAGAGCAATGATGATAATACATCGGTGTTTTCAGTTGTTGCTAGAGGAATGTTTACCCTGATCAAGGACTTTTCTGTCTGTCATGCTCTGCCAGTGGGGGGCACAAGAAGCCGGGAGGGAGCAGCATCAGGGCACCTGACACAAACTAGCCAAAGGGGTATTCTATACCACAGCCCATCATGCCCAGTATATAAACTGGGGGGAGTTACCCAGAAGGCCCAGATTGCTGCTCAGGTTGGGCTGGGTATTGATCAGCAGGTGGTGAGCAATTGTATTGTGTGTCATTTGTGTTTTTTATTTTCCTTTCCCCTTTTAGTTTTATATTCTCTCCCCTTGTTATTTTGCTTATCATTATTATTACTGGTGGTGGTAGCACTAGTAATTTTGTATGGTACCTTTGTTACTTGACTGTTCTTATCTTGACCCATAGGGTTTACATTCTTTTGATTCTCCACACCATCCCTCGGGGAGTGGGGGGTGGGGAAAAAGGGAGGAGAGTGAGCAAGTGGCTTCATGGTTCTGAGTTCCCAGCTGGGCTTAAAGCACAACAGACCCTCACTACAAGAGAGACATTGAGGTGCTGGAGCAGGTCCAGGGAAGGGCAACAAAGCTGGTGAAGGATCTGGAGCACAAGTCTGATGACTAACATCTGAGGGAACTGAGGAACTCTGGAGAAGAGAGGGCTCAGGGGGGGCCTTGTCCCTTTCTACAACTTCCTGAAAGGAGGCTGTAGTGAAGTGGGGGTAGGTCTCTTCTCCCAAGTAACAAATGGTAGAACAAGAGGTAATGGCCTCAAACTGTGCCAGGGGTGGTTTAGACTGGATATTAGGAAAACTTTCTTCACCAAAAGGGTGATCAGGCTTTGGAACATGCTGCCCAGGACAGCGGTGGAATCACTGTCCCTGGAAGTATTAAAAAACTATGTAGATGAGGCCCTCAGTGACATGGTTTAGTGGTGGTCTTGGCAGGCCTGGTTGGACTTGATGATCTTAAAAGGTCTTTTCCAACCTAGTTTATTCTGTGATTCTCTGATAAAAAGTACAGAGTAAACCAAAGCCAGGTGGCCAGGCAGAAGAGATGTTTTTTCCCTTCACAACTTCACAGGAAACAGCATGAATACAAAATCAGTAAGAGGGGCAACAACTGCTTGCTGTCATTAAACTTTAGTGATTTAAAAGGGTAAACTCCAAGAACTCAATGTTCCCAAAACTCTTCTGGAAGCCAGTCTACTTATTTAACTAGTCACTGAAAACCATTGAAACCCATATTGCAGCCCATTTGTATGAGCTGTAGGCTTTACCCAGAATAAATACTGCTGGGAGACAAATTAGTAAATTCTCCATTGCCCCTTCCCCACCCCCACTCCCCCCTGTTTTTTTAAAGGATAGCTATGCCTGCTGCAATTTTGTTTCTTGGGAACAAGCATGACTTTTTTTTTTTTTTGCATTTATCAACCATTTTGATAAGGAAAAATAATTATTTTTGTCTCAGTGAGGAAAATGGTTGCTTAAACAGCTAAGCTGCACACACGTCAGATTAAAATAAAAAAGAGGTTACATTCTGTCTTGTTTGCCAGCCTTTTTTCTTTTTCTTGTTTTTCCTCTTCTTTAGCTTGTTTTTGTATAATCCTTAGCTCCAGTTTCTGTAGATCCCGAAACGTAAAACAAACAGAAAACCAAACATTTTTTGGAAGTAAAACAAGTTGTATGAAATATGTATGTAGCCTTTTCAGTTATAGTTTCTTGTTGTCTTGAAATTATTTTGTCACAGAACAGAATGAAGTTACACTGTGTAGCTACTTGCTACAGCTTGTCCTGCACAAAGAAATTATAGGTATGTAGTTCTGAAAAAAAAAATAGTAGTTTAATCTCTGCAAAAATGAAGTCCAGTGGGAATGGTGACAATGCTATCAGTTCTCCAATAATCAGATTCACATTAAAATGAGATCTATCATGCCCTTACAGCTACTGAAACCTTCAGGATATTCAAACAGGACTTTTGATTTCATATCTACATACAATAATCAGGTCTTCTGACATTTTCTATAGCATGGAGAGCAACACAGCCCAAGCTGGTTTTCCCAAACATTTTCATAGTGAAGTAAATAAAACCGTTTCTTTATGCAGAAAGAAATGTGGACTTGAATAATCCTGTAGAATTTAAAATAGTGAGGAAAAGGAACACTTTTGTATAAAATAAAGTTTCATACTGCTTCTTGTATGCAGCAGATGCTATTCTTCATAGTGAATCACAAATAGATTTAAATAAATGAAACTTGTGTTTGACAGATTATACTGTAGGAGGAAGTAGGTGAATTTAAAACATGTATAATGGGGATGTAATTACGCACACTCTGTTGAAAATTTCTTCTGCAGCGATTCTCTTCCTTTCCTCTTTTCCTGCCTCCTCTCTCTTCTTCCTTTCTTCAGCAAGGTATACTTTTCCAACACTAACTTCATGTGGCATTGGCATTCTTTTTGTTGCTTTTTTCCTTCTTTTTTTTTCTAGTTTTAGTTGCAAAGCTTGTTCCATTACCTATTGCTTTCTGCTCCTTCCATGCTTCTATTGATGCATGTCTTTTTCTTTCTTCTGCTGCTTTTTGCTTTTGAGCTTCTTCACGTTGTTGTGATTCTTCCTTAAGCATGCTTTCTGATTTCTTTTTCTCCTTCAAGTTTCCTTGGCTTTTCTTGCTGCTTCTTTTCTTTCCACCTCTTAATTGACTGCGGGAGAACAACAGGGAAGAGGGAAAGGGAGAGGGTAAGATGTTCATGAAAACTGTACACATTCCTGTTGGTCTTATAAAAACATGCTCCAAGGATACAAAGCAGCATACAGATAGGAATTAAAAGTCTACTGGTGGTAAAACCTAGGACAAAGAAGCAACTATATCTGCTTTCTCACTTTTTTTATTTATTATAGACACAGGGTTATTTAACATATTCCTGCTAAAATCATTTAAATTATGGCATTCATCTTTGGGTAGTTATGAATGTTGGTGTATTATGCTTTTTTTAAGCAAACATACATTTTTTTTCTCCCTTCAAGTTAACAAGTCCACATTCTATTTTATAATACCATTTTTATGTTAGCGTATCATTTATTACTCAGGTGGGTAGCTCTTGAAAGAATTGTAATTCTCTATGTCAGAAGAATGCTAATTCTCTATGTCAGTATGGCATAGGTATATTGCCTATACAGGGGGACACATTCTTTGGGACAGATATAACAAGAAATGCAGTTTCAGATAGGATCACTTACTGCTTTGGGACTGCCACCTAGCTTGCTGGTCCACCACCATAAAAGTATGTCTGTTCCTCTTTAAAAGCATTGATTCATTTTCAACTTCTTCCATCATCTCTTTGAGCTTGTCAACAACTAATAAGGAAAAGAGACTAATATTTAAGTATTTACCAGTAATTCAGCACTATCCAAAAATGCAGGTGCTTGCAGAGGCTTCTTCGACATTTGATTCAGTGTACAAAATAGCATGCATTTTCATCTCATATAGCCTTAAAAGACTCTCATTCATACAAAAGATGTGATTTCACAGTGATTTAGGTCACTGGATGCAAAGCCAGAATAAATGCTTATGTCCTTTAAGTAAGTCTCTTTCTGAGTAATCTTCAACTGATTTAAGAGAATAGGACAGCCTTATTCTAAAGTTTCCACTTTTGTTTATTTTTATAACAATGCAGTTAAGTGACTGCTCATATCTTTGGTTTACGCCAGGATGCAGGAATCCTTTTTAACCTACTTCTACAAAGCTGACAAAGACCCATCAAAGTAAGACTTCTTTATCCTGTAACGTCAGCATACTGTAGTCTCAATATGGAGAAAAACAGCAAGACAGCTGCCTAGAGATCTATGGTAGAAATGGTAGAAAAAGTGTTTTAGAATCTGTTTTAAACCAGCACAACATTTCTATGAACACATATTGAACACACAGTTTAACTAACCTGACTTTAAAAAAAAAAAAAATAAACTAAATCAGTACTATTGTGTCATCTGAAAATCCCTAGTTCAGCTTTCATGCTGTGTTAGTTCTTGGTATTTTGCTGACAGCTGAAGAAGATAATGCATTTTTTTATAGAATAGACACTCCACAGATGAAATGAGATGCATTGTATCCAACATCACAAAGCCCTCAGCTAGCAGAACTTCAACAGGAGTTCCACATGAGGTAGCAGAGTATCATAGGGGAATGTGCCTATTTTGAAAAGGTTTCAGAACATCCAAACTGAACAAGTTCTTTCAGTATTTCCCACAGAATATTCCAATTTACACTTCAATCCATGTGGATGGCTAGAAGTTAGTTTTCTGTACACCCTTGCTCTGTGACATTTTACCAACTGAAAGGGAGCTGTATCTAAACAGCAGTAGAATACTAACTTTGCATAAGGCAAAGTTAGACGTAGAAAATACCTGGCTTTCAACAGCCTGAGGAAGCAAACCCACACCACTTCTGAGAGAGAGGAAGTTTCTCTGTTTCCACACAGAAATGCATTTCTACATTCTTCCCGAGACTCCTGAAAAAGCAGATAGACTTCAGGAGTATTCCAAGTCTGCAGGGGAATCACAAGCAACTGTGAAAGGAGCCTGTCTGTAGAGAGAATGTTTTTAGATCTTTCATAGTGACTTACATTCAGGTGTAGGTTTCACGTATTTTAATTGATGCTGAAGTCTCTTCACAGTTTTAGTTTTGATAGCTGCTATAGGATTTTAGCTTCTGTAAATCAAAATAAGGTGCCCATAGTTCTAACAATTTCTGCATTGAAGAACAGGAGCAATGAAGTGTTCAAGATAAACTGGGGATTTGATCTAAGCAGGGTCACAATGTCTGTTTGGCCCTAACAAACTGCATAATATAAGGCATTTTAGCATGATTGTAACTGCAGGTAGCTGACTGCATGAGCCCTGTAGCTGCCCACACTGTATCAACAGATTTATAAATCAGTAGCTCCCTATTTTTGAAGGGGCCAACAGGATAGTTGTATTTAGGTTAAATCAGTTTGCTCTCCCCACCCCCCAAACCTTTTATGGCATAACTGGAGTCTGGTGAATGTTGCCTATGCAGGTGATACCTCCTCTAGAATTCTGAGGGAGACTCTGACCTAGTCCTCAAAACACTCAGCATTGTAAAGAAACTTGGAAAGTGTATGTGAACGTACGGCTTCAACAAGATTTCTTTATTTGCTGTGTTAACTAAGTTACAATGTTTTCATGTACTCCAGGCATGCAGTTACTTATTTGCTTTGTTACCACTTGGCTCCTCCTGAGTTCCTAAATACAATACTGATGAGGACGTAGTTCTGTATACATCCTAGGTACTGAGGAACTGTATCTTCTATCCTGAAAGATTTGTTTTAAGGAAAGGATAACAGGGTTCAAGACCTAAATGTAACAAAATGTAGCTAAAACATGACTTTACTAGTAACTGTTGAGACCATATAGCGCACAGATCATACTGAAAGACCTGAACATAGTAAATAGGAAGTTTGGGAGTTCTAGTACACACCCTAAAAGCTCGTACTCATTCCCTCATATTGGACATATAGCACGATAGTCCTTCATATGTCACAACAGTATCTCCATCCATACTTCCATGCTCCCTTCTTACCCCTGGAGTTTTCTGATTTCTTTTTAACTTAGTTATTCCTTGGAAAATTTCTTAAGAATTGCAAGACATAAAGGATATGTTAATTTTATTTTAAAGACGTACATTGAAACATACAAATTTGTAAGGTGAGTATATTTTTAGATATCTCTATGTGTCCTTTCCTTTCTTCAACTTGTTTTGTTTTGATCTACGACATCAACAGGCATTTATTTACTTCTGAAAAAAAAACTAGGTACTGTGAATAGGGAACCCTTTTTTTCCTGGAAGTATTTAATTAGTCCCTAAGCAGAACAGGTACTGTAGGACATATCGTGTACCATCTCACAGACTATTAATTAGCCACAGATGTGAAAAATGTAAACAAAACTGTTTAAAAGTATATTTAAAGGCAGCAATCAGTGTGTGGAAACTTACATTGGGCAAGTATATACTTATTGTACCTTAGCTACACTATGTTAGATTTTGCAATACACACACAAAATTGATTCCAAGTTACTAAAACAGTAACTTCCCACCAAAGTTGTGACTAGTACTGGCTACACTCACGATTAAAATAGTTACTAACACAGAATGCCCAAAATGTATATGTATTTGAATTTTGCAAGTCACCTGTGGAAGTCTTCTTTATAAGCTGTACACATGGTGAAATACATCAGCATCCACCTTCCACCTGAACTAACCTCTCTGTACTACTGATTTTTAAACCATTTAAACAAACAACAGTAACATTAAAAAAAAGAAAGGCCACAAAAAAAAACAAGTAAAACCCCACTTACTTTGTTTTCCTACTGACAGTCAAGCTGTGTTCCAGTTCTTCTAGTATGCTGTCTTCTATCCTGAAATCACTCTTCCTTTTGTAAAGGTATCTATTTTTGTCTTTATCTAGATTTGCAAGCCTGGAAAAAAAGGTTGCTGCACTGAGTAAGAGACGAAGTCTCAACAAAGCCCCAGGGTTTTCCAAGGTCGGTATCCAGCTGAGGTTGTATCAACAGACTTAGATTTTACACAAATCACTGTTTTGTTCCTAGAGCTGTTTTCAAGGAAAATCTTTCTGCTGTTGTAAGACTACGCACCAAAGTAACCCAAGAGCTTGAGCGAAAGAAAGATGCTAAGAAGGAAATTATCTTGCTAACAGGCAAGTGGTTCTACACACTGAAATTTTACCGGTAGCTCACTTTCAGGGAGTCTTATGAGACTTTTCATTGGAAAGTGCAGGGATAGAGGCAGGTTGTCTTAATGTGGATGCACAAATAGATGGAGCCCCAGCACACACAAAACATGTATTCCCTCAGCCTCAACACTAGTAGTGACACTACTGCAACTGAAGATTCAAATTCAAGCTTGCTATCATTCAAGTAACTTCAGATATTAAATTACTTAATACAATGCTTAATACAACTCTACACTACTTAATGACAATGCTTTGTGTATAGTACAGAGAACTTTCTTGCTTTTCTTACTTTCAGAAGCTTTAGAGAAAGCACCACAGATGCCCCTCACTACAGACATCTGTACAACATTAAACAACACTACCAACAGCCCAAGAAACTTCTCTCTTAGCAGCTTGGCTCTTTAACAGTCTACAGCTGCTATATGGTTAAAACCCTTATATGGTGTAGTTCATGGTTCACAGTTTAAATACTTTGCTGTGCCAAGTATCCTATCTCCCCACATAGTGCACTAGAAACCTTCAAAGGCCAATTACAGAAAGCTAATGAGCCAAAATTAAATACCATGTCTTATTTAAAGAGGCTTGGGAATGTCTACATTACCCATCAGTCAATGTGTGAGCTATAACTCAGGATCCACAATAATTGAGGAGGTGATGCAGGCAGCATAAAACAGTGCTCTGAGAGTCAAGTGTCACTGTTCATTAAAGATTCACAACTACAAACCTCTCCTTCAGTTGGGTGGCTGTGTCAGATCTTCCTCATAACGCTCATACATTCAAGAAGAAACCTGCTTGTTTCAGTTGCCAGAATAGTTATGACAGCGCTTAACTCAAGATGTGAAGAAACAAATTTAAATGACTTCTAGGTCTGAGCTGTCTTGAAACCCCATTTTCCAAAGCACTCACCTACGTATTTCAGATGAAGTGTCTTCAGTCTTCTCTGAGGAACCTCTTGTAATACTGCTGCAATTCCCTTTTTGTTGGTGTTTTTTAAGGGCTTTAAGTAAGGGTAAAAACAGCCAAGTAGGAAAACTGAGAACTCAGTTCAGCTCTTTCTTTTTTGTGAGTCTAATGCAACAGGCATTTTGGAGCTCATGAGCATATGGTGAACTACTGCTAACAACCATGATAATCTGCCTGAGTTCCTCAAAAGGAAATCTTAGCCTAAAGGTTTAATTACCATAAACTCTTACCTTGAACCTCGAGTTATATTACCTCCAGAACACCATGAAAACGAACTGTACAGCTTATTGAGTTTTTAGATTTTTCTGTGGTTCTTAAGAATTCAAATTTCTTAGCTTGTTCAGCTTTGATCTTCCAGTTCTGATATTTTTGACCAGTACCTGTAGTACTGGAACAGCTGTCATTCTGTACATAACAAAATACAGTATTATTCAAAACCAGTATTATTTAAATTATTATAAGTTATTTTTAAGCAGACAACACCACAGTGCAGAGTAACAGCATTACTTTGGTTTTATACTGGTGCAATTCAACTAATTTTAAGTCACACAGGTATAAAACTAGGGTGATGACAGTGAGCTGATGACTGTACATAAAAAATGTATTCTGATGAATAAATGAAAAAAATGAAAAAGAATGTAACATCAGCTTGCGTTAACAGAAGCTGCTCACCACACTGCAACTGCTTTGCCTCTCCCAGCAGCCAGTCTCTGGCAAGTCGGAAGAACTACCTACCTGACTATAAACAAGTAATCAACACTAGGAAGATTGCCCACATTCCGTCTTGTTCAACAAAAATACAAGCTTATGAAATCTGCTTAATAACACTCGCAAACTGCAACTCTGATTCACAGCAACCCTGAACAAATTTAACTGCTAGTGATATAGGGTTAACCAATGTACAGGGGGGGTTGTACAGGGGGGTTGTACAAGGGGGTTAGAGGAATCTGCTTGCTTAAACAAAATGTACCTTTCATGCCTACTAAACAGAACAAAGGCACTAACCATTGATAAGGAAAAGCAGACACCTGGTTCTATTGACAAGGAAAAGCAGACTGATTCTACTGATAAGCAGCTATTGATAAGGAAAAGCAGACGCCTGAAGGGGGAGATGCAGATGGTTTATGGCTGGGACACCGACCAAACCCTAAGGCCATACGTGAAGACTAAAAGGTGAAGAGTTCAAGAAGAGGAAGACTCATTTACTTCGTCTTGAAGACCCCTACCCACAGGAGGAAGACTCAGCTACTTCATCTTGAGACCCCTGCCCATGACCAGAGGGGGCACTGCGCAGGCACAAAGGACCTTCTAATTCATTATAATACGAAGCGGGGATAGGACATGAATATGTATAGGCATATTGTGCAATCTTATGAATATATATAACTTTAGAGAATAAATGTAGAAGGAAACAACACTGAAGTACGCATGACTTTGAGGAATTATCCCCGTGCGTCTCAGCGCTGAATACTTTACAACTTTAACGAGTTGTGGAGTCAATCCGCGCATCACTAGGAACGCAGCTAATCAAACTGTTTGGGTTACAGGTTACATTTTGAGGCCAGCCACACAAACCTGCACTTCCTCCTACAGGTTTCTTTTTAAAGTTTATTGCCTACACCTCGTAAAAAGAATTCCTCAGCAGCCGTCACCCAGCGGGCCTGCGGAAAAGAACTGCCCCCTGGTGAGGAGGGAAGCGCAGCAGCCCTGCGCCGTGGAGATGCCTTTACCTGTTCATGCCCGGCGGCCACAGCAGCGACCGTCATTACGAGGCCACCCATGTTGAGCGCGGCGTGCTTAGGGGCGGACCGGCTGTTGTAGCCTTCCAGAACGCTGGGCTTCCGCAGCAGGAAGGAGGGTTTATGTGTGGGGGTGTGTCACCGTTGTCAGAACCGAACTATGAAGGTGTGTGGGGGATGACATCAGTCGCAGCCGTCATGGAGGTGGCAGGTGGCATTCAAGGTCTCTGCGGTGTCTGAGAACCCAGAGCTGTGTACAGTTGGTGGGACCACAGCCTGGGCATCAGAAGCTAGTGTTCCAGCAGAGTGATGTGCTGAAGACAGGAATGCTGTGTATGGAGATCCATTACATGTACAGCAGAAAGTGGTGCTGCCTGTAGGGCTGTGCCATGTGGCTGATATTGAGAAGTACCGTTGATACCTGGGAAAAAAAAAGGGTTAATATTGTGCCTGCCTGCTTAAGTAGTCAATGTGCTTGCTGAAGCAGAACCGTATGAGTTAAAGTTGCTAGAATTGTGAAGCAGAATTGTAGGCGTTACAGCTGCTAGGCTGTAGTAGATAAGATTCATAACTTGTGTGATGGATGAACATTTAAGAAACTCTTGTTTAAATAGTATCCGTAGAAAAAAAAAAAAAGAAAAAAAAAATTTACAAGCTTAACAAGTTTCTGCTATAAGATACATAAAACCGGCTTGTACCAAATGTGAGGTTTGGATAGGAGCCAAAACCCTGTTCAGTCTGAGTGAAAGCAAGAGATTACTCGTCGTGATGAAGAGGAAATACGGGCCTTCATCCTCACGACCCACTAACGACCACCACTAGGAGGCACTGCCCAAGTCCATCAATGGGACAAATGCCAGAAAACTAATTATAATACTAGACGGTAATAGGTTTTGCATATGTATTAGATGTGAAGCAATCTCATGTTTATGTAATATTAACAAACTGAGTGGCAAAGGAAAGGTGCGCATGCTTTTGGAGGAGTGATCCCCCATGCGCCTCAGCACTCAATGAAGCATACATACTTTACAACTTTAACAAGTTGTGGAGTCTATCCGAGTATCACCATGTGCACTTCTGGTGTCCCCAGCTGTCCTGGGCTCAGCAGTAGCAGTCATTTTTCTCTTACTTAGTAGCTGCTGCAGTGCTGTGGTTTTGACTTTTAGACCGGGAACACTGATAACACCAATGTTTTTAGTTGTTGGTAAGTAATGTTTACTGTGACCAAGGACTTTGTAAGTCTAATGCTCTGCCAAGGAGGAGGAGAGGCCAGGAGGAAGCAGAGACAGGACACCTGACCCAAACTAACCGAAGAGGTATTCCATACCACAGCACGTCATACCCACTGTATAAATTGCGGGAAGTTACCCGGAAGGGCTAGATCTCTGCTTGGATCAGGGTGAGTATCAGTCAGCAGGTAGTGAGCAGTTGTATTCTCTTCCACAGAATCACAGTATGCTAGAGATTGGAAGGGACCTCGAAAGATCATCTAATCCAATCCCCCTGCAGGAGCAGGAACACCTAGGTAATGTTACACAGGAATGTGTCCAGGTGGGTTTTGAATGCCTCCAGGGAAGGAGACTCCACAACCTCCCTGGGCAGCCTGTTCCAGTGTTCCGTCACCCTCACTGAGAAGAAGTTTCTACTCAAGTTTAAGTGGAACCTCTTGTGTTCCAGTTTGTACCCATTACCCCTTGTCCTATCACTGTTTGCCACCGAGTAGAGCCTGGTTCCATCCTCGTGACACTCCCCCTTTATATATTTATAGACACTTATAAGGTCACCCCTCAGTCTCCTCTTCTCCAAACTATAGAGACCCAGCTCCCTCAGTCTTTCCTCATAAGGGAGATGCTCCACTCCCTTAATCATCTTTGTTGCCCTGCGCTGGACTCTCTCCAGCAGCTCCCTGTCCTTCTTGAACTGAGGGGCCCAGAACTGGACACAATATTCCAGATGGGGTCTCACCAGGGCAGAGTAGAGGGGAAGGAGGACCTCTCTCAACCTACTAACCACCCCCCTTCTAATACACCCCAGGATGCCATTGGCCTTCTTAGCCACAAGGGCACAGTGTTGGCTCATGGTCATCCTGTCGTCCACTAGGACCCCCAGGTCCCTCTCCCCTACACTGCTCTCTAACAGGTCGTTTCCCAACCTATACTGGAACCTGGGGTTGTTCCTGCCCAGATGCAGGACTCTACACTTTCCCTTGTTATATTTCATCAAGTTATTCCCTGCCCAACTCTCCAGCCTGTCCAGGTCTCGCTGGATGGCAGCACAGTCTTCTGGCGTGTCAGCCACTCTTTCCAGCTTAGTGTCATCAGCAAACTTGCTGATAGTACCCTCAATTCCCTCGTCTAAATCATTGATGAATATATTAAATAATACCGGTCCCAGTACTGACCCTTGAGGCACTCCACTAGTTACAGGCCTCCAACTAGACTCAGCCCCATAGACTACAACTCTCTGGCTTCTCTCCTTCAGCCAGTTCGCAGTCCACCTCACTACCTGATCATCCAGTCCACACTTCCTCAATTTAGCTGTGAGGATGCTGTGGGAGGCTGTGTCAAATGCTTTGCTGAAGTCAAGGTAGACCACATCCACAGCTCTGCCATCATCCATCCACCGTGTTATTTCCTCATAAAAGGCTAAGAGATTGGTCAAACATGATTTCCCCCTGGTGAAGCCATGTTGACTGCCCCTCATAACCCTCTTATCCTTGATAGGCCTTAAGATGGCACCAAGGATAAGGTGTTCCATCACTTTCCCAGGGATGGAGGTGAGGCTGACCGGTCTATAGTTACCCGGGTCCTCCTTCTTGCCCTTTTTGAAGACTGGAGTGACATTTGCTTTCCTCCAGTCCTCAGGCACCTCTCCCGTTTCCCAAGACTTGGTAAAGATGATGGAGAGTGGTCTAGCAATGACTTCCGCCAGTTCCCTCAGCACCCGCGGGTGCATCCCATCTGGACCCATGGATTTATGGATGTCCAGATTGCTCAACCGATCTCTAACCCATTCCTCATTGACTAAGGCAAACCGCTCCGTCGACCTGACTTCATCTAAGGTCTCAGGGGTACAGGGCTCTTCAGGACTGCCTGCAGCAGAGTAGACAGAGACAAAGAAGGCATTCAGTAACTCTGCCATCTCTGTATCTTCTGTCACCAGGGCACCCATCCCGTTCATCAGTGGGCCTACATTGCCTCTGGTGTTAGTTTTGTCTGCCATGTATTTGAAAAAGCTCTTTTTGCTGTCCTTGACCCTTCTCGCCAGGTTTAATTCTAAGGATGCCTTAGTCCTCCTAGCTGCCTTCCTGCATCTCTAGCAGCAGCCCTATATTCCTCCCAAGTGGCCAGCCCCTCCTTCCATGACCTGTAAACTCTCCTCTTCCACTTGAGCATACCCAGCAATTCCCTATTTAGCCACATTCCCTTGTTATTTCCCTTATCATTATTATTACTGGTGGTAGCAGTAGTGGTTTTGCATTATACCTGAGTTGCTGGACTCTTATATCAGCCCGTGGGAGCTGCATTCTTGTGATTCTCCTCCCCATCCCTCTGGGAGCTGTGGAGGAAGAAATGGGTGGGGGGCGAAGTGAGTGAGCAGCTGTTTCATTCTGAATTAAACAATGACACCAGGATAAGAAGGTCATGGAGCTGCTGGAGCAAGCCCAGAGGGGGGCCATGAGGATAATAAGGGGATGGAGCACTGAAGATAGCCTGGAAAAGTTGAGGCTTTTCAACACGGAGAAGGCTGCTTGGAGTCCTCATAGCAGCTTTACAGTATCTAAAGGGATCCTATAAGGGTACCAGAGATGGGCTCTTCATCAGGGATTACAGGAATAGGACAACGGCTGATGGGTGCAAACTTAAATTTGGAAGATAGGGCTAGATAAAAGGAAGAAGTTCTTTACTGTGAGGATGGGGAGGCACTGGAACACAATTTCTAAAGAACTGGGGTTGAATGTTCCATCCCTGGCAGTGTTCTCAGGCAGGCTGGAAGGGCCTTGGAGCATTACAATCTATTTTGGTAAATCCCTGTGCATGGCAGGGGGCTTGGAACTGGATGATATTAATGTCCTTTCCAACCTAAACTATTCTATGATTATATGATTCTATGATTCTGCTTTGACTTCTGTTAGGATTTTAGGTTTTGTATTGATTGCTTCCTTCAAAAGACCAGAATATATCTTCACTATCCTACAGGAAATAAATAGTTTCACATTATTCAATACATTTTTGGGATTCTCTCATCTATGCTAATCAAAATTTTAACAAGTTACTGATTTCCATTTCTGCAGAATAGAAATGTATTCATGCAGTGGCTTTGCTAGCTGAAGAGATTTTGCGAACTGGTGTTTTCTCAGCTGCAGAATTCAAAAGCTTTAACAGATGCTAACAACATGGCATAAGCTGAAGACATTTTATTGCCTAATTGATGTATTTAAGGCACTTTTCTGATATGTTTTCCCTCTTTATGACTGTACTTACATTGGACTTCTTTGCATTTGCTGAATAGGAATTAATAAGTAAAGGAGAACATTTCAAAACCTGAAAATAATCGTAAGTATAAATCAAGGATTGTAATCACAGACCTGAAATAGCTTCTATTCTCTCCAAAGCTATGATTTCAATGAATTTTTTGTCTTTGTCTACAAGACGTCTAGAGTGGGAGTTTTAGAATAGCATCTAGAGGCAGGGCACGGGGTAATGGCTTTAAGCTGACAAAAGGGTAAATTTAGATAAGATATTAGGAAGAAGTTCTTTACTGTGAAGGTGGTGAGACACTGACACAGCTTGCCCAGAGAAGCTGTGGCTGCCCCATCCCTGGCAGTGCTCAAGGCCTGGTTGAATGGGGTTTAGAGCAGCTTGGTCTAGTGGAAGGTGTCCCTGCATATGGAAGAAGGGGTCTGAACTAATGATCATTTAAGGTCTCTTCCAACCCTAACTATTCTATGATTCTATGATTGTCTTGTAATTTACTGTTACATGCAACAGAAAAAAGTTTGTCTAGAACTTGTTTGTATTTGGTTT